CAATGCTGAATACTGAATATTGTCATTGTGAACCACGGTCCCTGTAGACTACTGGTTAGGTGAAGCTGGTCTTAACCAGCTTTTATTGCCTGCATTCTGAATCCATGTCTTTTCAGTGTTGGAACTCTTTATTATTGAAACGGGTGGACCAAAACAATTTAACTAGCAATCAGTGTGAGCTACCTGTGCTCACTCTGTGCCACTTGAGGAGGCATACAGATGAGTACAAGACACAGATTTCCTGAAGCAGTGCTGCTCTCAGTGAGGGCCACAGACCAGTGCTCTCACGATTACCCAGTCCACGGGGAACTTACATACAGCAACTAGGAGTACAAGTTTAAGAAGGATTATAGTAACTCAACAAACCAATTATGTATATTTAAAAGTATTAGTCTGAAGCAGACTGAAATTTTAAAAAGTTGTTTTTATACTACAGACAGCTTGAGAAGCTCTTTTTAAAGTTATATCAGATCTCTCAGTGTCTGATAGGATGCCTTTGTTTTGTACATGATCAAAAGCTTTGTTTTAATTTCTTTTATTCAAAATATCTAGGCATCTGGCATTACAATCAAAATTTCAATTATATATTGAGCTTTTTATTTGTTGCAATATATTAAAATTTTACAGGTACCATGGGGCTCCGAAACTAGGAATTCTAAGTCAGTATGTGTATTTCACATAATAAACTGTTAATGGTGAGCAAAGAACTATATACTGGCTAGATTTTTCCAGACCTGTGTAGTCTATTATATGTATTTTGTGGTATTTGTGGAAAGCTCAGTGTCAAACATGCACTTAATGTGTATTTTTTTTAAATTTTTTTTATTTACGCATATAAGAGCTGGGGTGTAGGTCAGAGGTGCGGGGCTAAGGGTGTGTGTGTGAGAGGATTCACCAGAGACAGAGTGGGGAGCAGAACAGGCAGATCTACTCAATACACTGCTGAAGGGAGCTGCAGATGAGAGAGGAGAGGTCTGCTGTGCCATGTGGGTCACCTCTCTGTCCGGCTGGGAATGGAACTCGTGTTGCAGTGGCTGGCAATAGCTTGATAGCACTGTCTTTAACCAGTGAGCCACCAGGGAGACCCCTAATGTGTATTTTTAAACAAATTTATGGCAATTAACATATTTGGAGACAAGGGTGCCACATTTCAATTTGTAAAAGATCTTTTTAACTCTACTGTGTAATTAAGATGCTTTGTATAATACCAAACCACAGCTGAAGAAACTAAGTTAAATGAATATCAAATAGATTTTCTGTTAAAAAGAATGTGGAGGTTTGGGACCTTCAATGTTGCTGGTGAGCATGTCAAACAGTGCAGCCAGTTCAGAAAACAGCTTGACAGAGCCCCAAAACATCAAAGAGTTACCATATAATACAGCAATTCTACTCATGTGTATATACCCAATAGAATTGAACAGATATGTTCTCAGAAAACTTGTACATGAATGTTCACAGCAACATTATTCAAAACATAAAGTGTAAACAACACAAATATTCAACAGTGGATAAATGGATAAACAATATGAAAGGTATCAATACACTGGAATGAAGAAACAAATCTTGCCAAAGATAGACACACCTTGACAACATTATCCTAAGTGAAGGGACCCAGATGCAAAAGGTCATGCATTGCAGGATTCTCCTTATAGGATATGTCCAGAACAACGCAACGCCATACAGACAAAAAGCAGGATAGTTTTTGCAAGGACTTAAAGGTTGGGGAGTGACTACTTATGGGTGCTGGGTTTTTTCAGGGTGATGAAAATCATCTGGAATCAGATAGTGGGGAGGAGCACACAATCTTGTGAACAGAATAAAACTATTGAATTTTATGTTTTAAAAGGCTGAATGGCATTATATGTGAACTGTATTCTCAGAAAAGAGAATTTACTTCTATATTTCAATAAGAAGTAAAAAAAGTTCAACTCACTTTTCATGATTTTTAGTCAGAAATTATTTAAATCGGAGATGACAGGTAACTTGATTATCAGTTGTGGTTCTTGACTGGACTCTTTTTTTTGTAAGAACTCTGGAGCTTCTTAAGAAGGGAGCTTTCCCATTCCCATTAAGATGTGGAACAAGACAAGGATGTCCACTCTCACCACTGCTTTTCAACATAATACTGGAAGTCCTAGCCAGAGCAATAAGACAAGAGAAAGACATACAAGGAATCCAAATAGGCAAGGAAGAAGTCAAACTATCGCTATTCGCAGATCATATAATATACATAGAGAACCCCAAAAACTCCACAGAAAAACTAATTAATCAATCAGTTTAGTAAAGTGGCAGGATACAAAATCAACACACAAAAATCAGTAGCCTTCCTATACACAAACAATAAATCTGAAGAAGAAGAAATCAAGAAAACCATTCCTTTAATTATTGAAACAAAAAAAATCAAATATTTGGGAATAAACCTAACAAAAGAAGTAAAGGACCTATACAAAGAAAGCTATAAAACACTGTTAAAAGAAATAGAAGAAGACACAAAGAAATGGAAAGACATCCCCTGCTCATGGATCGGAAGAATTAACATTATCAAAATGGCCATCCAACAAAAGCAATATACAGATTCAATGCTATTCCAATTGAAATTTCAATGTCATTCTTCAAAGAAATAGAAAAAATATTGATGAAATTCACATGGAGCCACCAAAAACCCCAAATAGCCAAAACCCTCCTGAAAAAAAAAAAGAAGGGAATGGAGGTATCACTCTCCCAGATTTCAAACTATACTACAAAGCTATAATAATCAAAACTGCATGGTATTGGAACAAGAACAGACACACGGATCAATGGAACTGAATAGAAAACCCAGAAATAAACCCACAGATTTTTGGTCAACTAATCTTTGACAAAGGAGCAAAGAATATGCACTGGATCAAAGAAAGTTTGTTTAATAAAGGGTGCTGGCAAAACTGGGTTGCTACATGCAAAAGAACAAAACTTGACTACTACCTCACACCATGCACAAAAACCAACTCAAAATGGATTAAAGAACTAGACATAAAACCTGAAACCTTAAAATATATAGAAGGAAATATAGGCGAAACACTACTTGATATGCACCTCAAAGACATCTTTACAGACACATCACCCAAAGCAGTGATAGTGAAGGAAAAGATAAACAGCTGGGACTACATCAAATTAAAGAGCTTCTGCACAGCAAAAGAGACAATAACCACAACAAAGAGAAACCCCAGCGACTGGGAAAAATTTTTGCACCCAACACTAATGATAAAGGACTGATCACAAAAATCTGCAAAGAGCTGATGAGACTCAACAAAAACAAAGAAAATAATCCAGTACGAAAATGGGCAGAAGAGCTAAAAAGAAACTTCTCCAAAGAGGAGATGCAAATGGCCAACAGGCATATGAAAAAATGTTCAACATCACTTGTCATCAGGGAAATGCAAATCAAAACTACCATGAGATACCATCTCACACCAGTGAGAATGGCACATATTAAAAAAACGAGCAACAACAAATGTTGGCGAGGGTGTGGAGAGAAAGGAACTCTCCTGCACTGCTGATGGGAGTGCAAACTGGTCCAACCACTATGGAGAGCTGTGTGGAGATTTCTGGACCTACTAAACACAGACCTTCCATATGATCCAGCGATTCCACTCATAGGTATTTACCCAAAGGAACGGATGCTTGAAGCTTGGAGCCCTTAGCTTTCCAACCACCTGCGGTGGTGTGACACGTCCAGTGAGAAGGCATCCTGCGGTTTTCACCACAACCCACTCCACCCCGAGCAGCTCAGAACGTCCGCCTCAACCACCTAAACCTTCTTTCCTTTTGTTTTTTAAGCTTATCTTTATTTATTTTTTAACTTTAAAATGTATTTTATTTTTATGTTTAATATATTTTTTACATCACTGTTAATTTTAAAACAGTATTTGCTTCCCCCCACCCCCAGGTGCAGTCCCCAGAGTTTCCTTCCCCAGTGCACCCGTGCACCATCACCTCGGTCCCCTGTGCTCCTCCCTCCCTGTGATCCCTCTCCCGCCTCCTCCCCTGCAGGATGTCTCTGATTTATAACTGTCCGTTTTTGCTTTGTTGGAAAAAAAAATAAACCTTCTTTCCTCACTAACACCTGCAGAGTGGTAACCCAAGGGAGAGGAGCCATAACCAGGGGCAGGAGCCGCAGCCAGTGGCGGCGTGACCATGACCCGTGCCCTGTGAGGTAAGCCTAGTAACTACCCATCGCTTTTTATTTTTAAAAGAAATTTGATGGGAAATTAAACATAAAACGGAACTTGACAGTGTTTCTTTAAACCTCAGGTCAGGTTTCCAGCTGGGAGGCCACAGTGCCCGGGTACCTGCGAGAGCACGTTTTGGGGGGCCCCTGCCGTCAAGCGCTGCGTCTCGCAGAAGCCCTGGCTGTCCAGGTGTGCGGGGAGGGGGCGACAAGGCAGACACCCCGAACACACGAGGGGCGAACGGCTTGGGCTGGCGACGGGGGAAGCTGGGAGCCCGGAGGCAGCGCTGTGGGGGTAGGGGCCAGGGTGGGCGAGGGCCACGGGAGCCGACAGAGAGCAAAGCTGGGTGGGGGGCGGGGCAGAGGCTTCTCGCTGAGAGGAGCACAGGCCCCGGGCGCTGAGGTGGCCGCAGGCGAGGTGGGCGTGGCCAAGCGGGGCCGAGCCCTGAGGGGAGTGGGCCTCGCCGGGAGGAGTCTGGGAGGCCGCGGGGTGGCCGTGAGGCGCGGGCGGCCGCGAGGCGGGCGGCCTGCGCGCGCCTGAGGAGACGCGGCGACAAGGCCCAGGTCCCGCCAGGACGCGAGAGTTCCAGAATGGGGGGTGGGGGTGTTCCAGAAGCCCAGGGGCGCCCGGGGAGCACGAAGGCTGACCAGAGTCGAAACTGGGGCGACGGAAAAGTGGCCTCGAATTCTATCGAAGTTTCCAAGAAAACCGTTAGCACAGAAGGTCAAACCCTGACGTGACGCAAGGCCCGACGGGCCTCACACAAGCGACGGCAGGAAGCGACGAACCTACCTCACGTGTAAGCGCGCGCGAACTGACGGCACCTTCAGGCGACGCTCGCAGGCCGGGGTGTCTCTCCCGCTCAACAAAGCCGGGAGCCTGGGGTGGGATGGGGGAGCGACAGCCGGAGGACGAGCCTCTACATCCCGCTGGACGCGCTGCTGCCTGCGCTCCCCGCCGAGGGGCCCCAGCTTATACATGAGGGGAGGGGCCAATATGTTCTCACTGGGGTCCGCTATGCAAAGCCCGCAGGCCAGGCCCCTTCTGATTGGCGCAGCCTGGGCGGCTCAGGGGCGACAGTCACGGTGATTGGTCGGCCAGGCCGCTGGGCGGAGCTTGGGGCGGTGCCTCGGCGGGTGCGCACGGGCAGGCACCTGGGCCCGGGCTGGCCTCCGTCGCCTTCATGCCTCAGGTACGCGCCTCAGGTACGCGCCTCAGGAGGCCGCAGCTCGTCTTCTCTTTTAAACGAGTGCCTGTCGCTTCTGTTTTTCTTGGTTGGTTCTGCAGTTTCCTGCCCCTGTCAGCCCAGCGCGCGGCCTGGCCCTGGAACGCAGGCGTCAGCGCCCAAGAGGCGTCGCGGTCCCTGAGGAGACGCAGCCGGAGGAGCGCCAGGTGAGCCGCCGCCCGTGGCGTCCCGGGCTCGCACGGGCCTGTGTGTGCTGGTGTTCGCGCCTCGGCCCGCCTGCGGCTTTGACGTGGCCTGACGCGGGCCGGCGTACTTCGGGCCTCGTGGGCGCCGCGTGTCTGAGGGCGCCGTGACTGACGCCCCAAGGCAGACGTGCCGCCTCGGGAGCCGCGCCCAGGGGCACGGGGCCCTTGCTCCTGTTTTATTTAAAAGTGGCCTCAACCCACTTGGCGGCTGGTGACCCCAGCGTGAACTCCGTGAGCGGAGGGTGTGACCTAAGGGACCCCGGCCCCGGGCTCTTCCCAAGACTCCATGTTGCATTTTCAGCACCGTTCATGGCGGTTTCGGGTCTCTGTGAGGCAAACGCCTTTGGAAAGCGGCCACACGTTACCCAGTGTGTGTTAAAGTGAGGGGTTTATCCTTTTTTCTGGAAGTAGTTGGGTTGGAGGGAAGGGGAGAGGAACAGAAAATCTGACAGCTCTGCCCGGAGGAAAGGAAGGCGAGAGCCCTGAGGAGGAAATGACTTTACCCAGGGCCTTTACACAATCAGTTCAAAATTTGATTTCCAGCTCCTGCTAAGGTGACACGGCAGCAGGTCCTTATCTGAAGGAGGAAGCACGAATCTGGGAAGCCGGTTAGACCAGGCCTGGCCAGCGGGGCAGGAATGCTGCGTGTCCTCATTGCTGGAATAAGGTGTGGCCAGTCCAGCTGGAAGGTGGGAGAGGGAGGGGGGGTCAGGACTTCACAGGAGGAGCAGAGCAGGCTGTGGCTTCACCTCTGCGCAAGCAGATGTGGCGTGGGCCATAGGAAGTGACTCCGGTCCTCAGGTTCCCAGGCTGGACCCTCTGTCGTTGCCAAGACTCACCCTGGCTAGAGCCACCTGTTCAAACAAATCGATGCGCGGAGAACTGGGAAAGCTGGTTCAAAGGTCTCCCGTGGCGTTGTCAGGACAGAAGACCCAGGCAGGGCTGTTGTCCCAGGGGCGCCACAGGCCTCAGGTCCCTGTGGCGGGGTCTCGGCTCCGGCCTACTCTTTGTTGGGAAGGAGACTCTACCCGGCTCACTGCGGGGTCCCGGCGCCAGCTTGAATCTCAGTCATGGTTAGTTTTGTGCGCCTCCAAGACTCTCTGAATTGAGGGGTCACTTACTGACATTGCAGGGTTCCTTTGCCCATATGTAGGATACAGCAGACTCACTCCCCCGACCCCCTCACTCATCCACTTAATAGCGGTCAGAGGGTGAAGTCAGATCTGTCAAGGGCGCGTGGTGGATGTCGTCCATTTTATGAGCGCCTCGGCCACCCCATCAGTTGCGTAAGACCACCTTTTTTTTTTTTCCCTAAGGTAAGCTTCATTTTTTAAATAAATTATTTTATTTTATATAATTCTTACATCATTTTTGCATAATGTATGCATTTTCATTTTGGTTATATTCCCCATACAATTCCCACCCCCTTTTTCTGACCCTAATCCTTCTTCTCCTCCTCCCGCCCCCCACTGTAGTGCGTCTCCATTGATTTTGATTTTTACTTTATTGCAATTAGTCTTTTTCCTGGTCCCTTATTTAAGTTTTCTAGATTCCTGCTATGAGTGAGACCATCCGGTATTTTTCTTTTTCTTTTTGGCTTATTTCGCTGAGCATGATCCCTTCCAGCGCCATCCATGTTGCTGCAAATGGCATGTGTTTATCTTTTTTGATTGCTGAGTAATATTCCATGGTGTATATGGACCACATCTTCTTGATCCAGTCATCTATTTTTGGGCATTTGCTTTGTTTCCAAAGCTTAGCTATTGTAAACAGTGCTGCTATAAACATAGGAGTGCAGGTGTTCTTTGGAATTGATGTTTCTGTGTCCTTTGGGTAAATACCTAGGAGTGGAATTGCTGGATCCTATGGAAGCTCTATGTTTAGTAGGTCCAGAAATCTCCACACAGCTCTCCATAGTGGTTGGACCAGTTTGCACTCCCACCAGCAGTGCAGGAGAGTTCCTTTTTCTCCACACCCTCGCCAACATTTGTTGTTGCTCGTTTTTTTAATATGTGCCATTCTCACTGGTGTAAGATGGTATCTCATGGTAGTTTTGATTTGCATTTCCCTGATGACAAGTGATGTTGAACATTTTTTCATATGCCTGTTGGCCATTTGCATCTCCTCTTTGGAGAAATTTCTTTTCAGCTCTTCTGCCCATTTTCGGACTGGATATTATTTTCTTTGTTTTTGTTGAGTCTCATCAGCTCTTTGTAGATTTTTGTGATCAGTCCTTTATCATTAGTGTTGTGTGCAAAATGTTCTCCCAGTCGGTGGGGTTTCTCTTTGTTGTGGTTATTGTCTCTTTTGCTGTGCAGAAGCTCTTTAATTTGATGTAGTCCCAGCTGTTTATCTTTTTTTTTTTTTTAAATTTATTTTCAGCTTTTCTTTTTTTTAAGATTTATTTATTTATTTATACAAGCACTGGGTACAGTCAGAAGCGTGGGAGGGTGAGAGAATTCACCAAAGCCAGAGCGGGGGGCAGAGCAGGCAGAAGGACCAAAGTACACTGCTGAGGGGAGCAGCGGGTGGCAGGAGAGGTCTGCGCGCCATGTGGGACCCTCCTCCAGTGGTGGCCGGGGAGCAGCCAGGGATCGAACCGGCAACTACAGAGGCTGCGGGCAGCTTCGCAAGCCAGCGCTCAACCGCTGCGCCACTGGGGAGGCCCCTCAGCTGTTTATCTTTTCCTTCACTATCACTGCTTTGGGTGATGTGTCTGTAAAGAGGTCTTTGAGGTGCATGTCATGTAGTGTTTTACCTATATTTCCTTCTATATATTTTATGGTTTCAGGTCTTATGTCTAGTTCTTTAATTCATTTTGAGTTGGTTTTTTGTGCATGGTGTGAGGTCGTAGTCAAGCTTCCTTCTTTTGCATGTAGCGACCCAGTTTTCCCAGCACCATTTATTGAACTTTCTTTGCTCCAGTGCATATTCTTTGCTCTTTTGTCAAAGATTAGATGACCAAAAATCTGTGGGTTTATTTCTGGATTGTTTATTCAGTTCCATTGGTCTGCGTAAGACCGCTTTTCTCTTAAGAGAAAAAGAAGTTTTCTTTTCTTTAGTAATTGGAGACATTACACTTAAGTATTACGCAAAACTGATCCTCAAGATTTGTCTCTTTGATTTGGAATAAATTCAGCTAAACTGGAATAACCAGATGAGCTCACCCTTTCCCGTTTGTCAGTTCCCAGAAGGAGTCAGATAAAAGGGCGTGCCAAGAATAACCAGCCCTTGGTGCTGGCAGAATCCGAGGCATGCTTCCAAGGGCTTCTAATCTCCTGGAGTGTGCGAGCAAGAATGTGGCTCTGTCCCTACCTGCCTGGCCCGGAGAGGCAGGGGAGGAGGTGTGGGACCCCACCCAGCCCCAGAGACTGTGTTTGAGGTTGTGCTATCCCAAGTCCCCGCTGGCCCTGCTCGGGTGGAGAGAATTCAGGGCCATGGTGGGTTTAGGAGTTTCCTGAATGCTGTGTCCAGAGGACAGCTCTGTCTTTTCTGTAATCATGTAAAATAACCTGCAACTAGCAGACGAGCGTGACCCCTCCACACTCATGTCCGTCGCTCTCTATTCTGTCCGAGGGCAACAGGCGCTTCTGTCTTTGCTGGTGTTGGTCAGAGAGGGAGCCCAGGAGGAGCCCGGGCCCCCAGGTTTGGATCCAGGTTCTGAGCCTGTCCTCAGGGAGGAGCAGGCAGTGCTGATCCAAGATCTCTGGGAGGCGCCGCCGCTGCTGGCCATGCTCTGTCTTCACCTCAATGACTCTACAGTGAACCATGTTCTGCAGGACATACGGGGTCTGAGCCATGCTGACACTCCTAGTTCTTGCTCACGGCAACAGGTGTGAGAACCTCCCGGACGTAAACTAATGTCATGAGCTCACTGTATAGACAGTGACTGTCTACACAGCAAAAGCATAGAATTCTGTGTGATTTCACATTCGTGCTGAAGAGGAAGAATGGTGAGGAGCACACCCCCGGCTACAGCTCGAGACTTCAGGTGTCCCCCGTTCTCTGGGCTCCCCTCCCCCTGGGCTGCCCACCTGTGATCCCCGGGCCATGAGGTGCAGGTGTTCTCAAGGACTGAAGTGAGAAAAGCCTCAAAATGCGGAGTCTTTTCTTGTAAGGCCAATGTTATCACATTTAAAGGAAATTTTCAATAAAAAAAAGATAAACACATGCAGTTTGCAGCAACATGGATGGAGCTGGAAGGGATCATGCTCAGCGAAATAAGTCAGAAAGAAAAAGAAAGATACCGGATGGTCTCACTCATAGCAGGAATCTAGAAAACCTAAATAAGAGAGCAGGAAAAAGAATAATCAATACAAAGTAAAAATCAAAATCAACAAGTAACTATGAACCAGAGACACACTATGGGAGGGGAGGTCGGGCGTCTGGGAGAGGAAGGATTAGGGTCAAAATAAGGGGGGGGGGCTATTGTATGGGGAAAATAACCAAAATGAAAATGCATACATTGTGCAAAAATGAAAAATGATGTAAGAATTATATAAAATAAAATATTTAAAAA